CACACAAAAAAATACAGAATGAGAGTCCTTTGAAGAAAAAATAAGTAAAAGAGTTGTTGACTAAGAAATTCTCTTAAAAACAATCTAAGGCGTAGACACAGTACTTATCAACTTCACTAAATGCATACTCAGAACAATTTACTTTATCTATAAAATATAAATTATTTTTTAAATACCACCGATTTGAAATTAACAGAAAATTAAAATAGTAAAATTTATTTTACTATCATAGTATGTTTAAAAATAGAGCCATCAAAAACCGTCTGCAGTATTATTATACCTTTACAAGTACTATTAGGAATGCTCGTCAACCATAAAGGTAAGGGGCAATATGTATCACATTTAAAATAACGGCTTCTGCACTTTTATTGTGTAGAAGCTTTTGTTACTCTTAAAGTTTAGATGCATATAAAAGCTTTATTGAATACAGAAACAACTGCTCTTTGTTGAGTAACGTGCAATTGTGTTGCAACATTTACAATCTTAAAAGGAGGAGAACTTGTAGAATGTGTAAAATGAAGTAGAAACTAGTAATGCCACAGTCAAGAAAGTCTTTTCTTTCGTTTTGTTAATTTATATTGTATTAAATGAAATATTTTTAGTAATTATTTACTTATACATATAAAATTTAGGTTATGAATGTGGCAAACAGATTATAAGTGTAGGCATATGAAATGTTAAAAACAAAAAAGAAATCTCAATTTGAATAGATTCAATTCACTCAAACCCTTTATAATTGCTTTGCTTTAAATATATTTATTTAATCTTTCAGCGGTCGCGGCCTTTGTACCAACAAGAAAGGTCGCGTCTATTTTCTAGATACACAAAATGCTAATTAGTTATTTTAAGATAAAGGTAATGAAATATTGTAATAATATTATAAAATATATACGGTGGAAGATTGATACACTGTATTTCTTAAAAATTTTTATTGAATTTAATTAAAAACAACAATGATGTCTCCTAGATTTTGCACATTTTACATATTATTGTATCGCAGTTTTGCAGTCTTGACAAATATGCTTTGAATGTTTCATACAGATGAATTTCTGAAAAATTTCAAATTCAAGTAGTCGAAGGTATTTTCTTCTAAGTATTTTTTCGTTATTATTGGTGGAATAGATTTTATAACTATTGATCGCGGCTACATTTAACATGGAAAAAATACTGTCATCTTCTGGTGTTCCAGGCAATATTTTAACAAGGACAAAGTTCATCTACACCTCCCTTTGTCTTTTTATAGAATGTTATAATCTCGGGTTTATTTTGGTCACCTGTTTCTGCGTCGATTTTTACGTCATCATCTAGGCTTGAAACTAATATTACGTTTTTATAGCGCTTAGGCACGTAGGAAACAAGAGACATGTCCTTCCGAAACCCAAAAATACTGGTATTGGGCTCACGCTTTTTTGTAACTATAAATTCATTGCGAAATTGGGTCTTATTTTTTTTTCATCGTTTCTACAAAGGCTATTTTTTTCTCATCAAGATATTTTATCAAATCAAAATCAGGAACTAGTTGTCAGTGGTCAGTGTTCTCCCCGTATTAAATATAGGTGTTGCCAACCTTTTTACCACGTCTCGTGGTTTGTTGCTTATAAAGATGTATTGAATAAAGAAGCATTTTACACGAAATGTCTTTAGTTTCTCGTCAATTGTTACATTTTTCCCAAGTGAGTAGCATTTTTGGCAATTAGACACAAACTCCAAATTATTGGAGTCAAGCGATCCATTCTTTTACGTTCTACCCTCGTAGGTATGTCATCAAAACGTAATGCTCTCAGTAAAAATAGAAATCTTCACCAACTCGTCACTGTTTTAAAATCATCCATTCTCTATGGATTTTTAAGGTTAACTCGATTACCATAATAAAGCAAGCCCAAAAGGGCTGTTATTTCTAGTTTGTCTGTATCCCTGACATCTCTTGGACGACAATAATTAAATCTTACATAACTTTTACTTATTTGTGAAAATCACGATGCTTTCAATCATAGGATTAGTTATGAGTAGACTTCGGCAAATATGCATATTGCATATTTTGCATATTGTGCATATTTTATGCAAATATTTCATATTTTGGCATATTTGTATAAAAGTTTGCATAAAGTGCATAAAAGTTCAGATTTTTATACTGTATTTGAAAATTTTTAAACATACCAATTTATTTCAATTCTTGTATAAAATTTTGTACTCATTTTAATCAAGAAATGATCTAAGTACGTAATCTCTACAGGTACAAAACATTTACAATTTCAAAGAAGATCAATTTAAGTAGCCCTCAACATTCTTAGAAAGTCTTGGTCACTGAGGCATTCAGTTATTGGATAATCGCTAAGGGTTCGCTCATTTGCATTTTATGATCTAATCCCCAAATCTATCTACAATTTATTGTATCTTAACAGCAGGTAAACAGCTAATAGTTTTGTTCCAAATTTAGGGATTTTCCAAAATCTCCCAGTTTATTGAATTAGGTACCTAAACATTTCTAATTTGATGCTCAGATTTGTAAATCATTTTTGTTTTGATATTCCAAGCGTAAACACTCGTTGTGCGTAACAAAAAGGAAGATTGTGATTTTATAATGCCTAAAACAACCAGTGCTTCAACTTGGATTAAACCTTATAAAGAGCTGTCTATGGATATGGGAAAAATTTACTGTTCAGTCTGTGGCAAAATTGTAAGTTTTTAATATATTCTATTAAATATCTAATATTTCATACATACAGGGTGTTTCCAAATGACACTTACAACGTTTGACTGTAGATACTTCTCGAAAAATTGAACAAAACGATATAGTTAATGAGGGTTCAAACTTATTTAATTTTCGAGATACAGGGTGTTAAAATTTAAAAAAATTAAATTATTTTAGTTAATAACAACAATAACTTTAAAACCAATAAACGTATTTACTTGAAATTTAGTACTCGTAGGTTGTTTTTAAATGAAAAATAGCTTCCTTTAGTGAGAAAAAATTGTCCGTGGTACAATACAATGGTGTGTATTTAGAAAAATTTTTCACCTTTACTTTTTTTTATAAAGTCAGATATTCTAAAACACAATTATTTTTATTGTAATTAAATTAACAAAAAAAAATTTTGGTGAATTTTAAAATAAGTTATATGATGTACTAATGGTTAGTAACAAAAACTAATTTGTGGATTAACACTACATTTAAAACACTTAGCGAGTGTTTTTTTTTTCCAAACCAGTTATTTGATTAACCAAAAACACCTTGTATATTTTTATATTTTAAAAGTTGGGTTTAAATAAAGGTTTTTATTTTTATTTATAGATAGCATGTGAGAAGAAATTTCAGATAGACCAACATGTGAGAACTGCTTCACACATTGCAAAAAAAGGAAAAATAGGAGGAAAACATCAAACTTCAATGGCTAAATGTTTCCAATCTATTTCAAAAAATTAGAGGAGCAAGAAACTTTTAATGAAGACTTGTGTCGCGCATTAGTGTCTGCAAACATACCGCTTTCAAAATTAGCAAATGTAAATTTTAGTTCGTTTCTAAAAAAATTTTGCAAACTTAATGTTCCAAGTGATCGGTCTCTAAGAAGAAATAATGTGAACGGGCTATACTCGTCGGTGTTAATTAATATTAAGGAAGAAATTGCAGATAATTATTTTACACCTTATGTAGACGAAACTACTGATTCCTCAGGAAAGTATATTGCTCATTTATTGATTGGTGTTCTTAAAGAAGATACCTTACCAAAATCTCATCTTATTTTATGACAGCAACTTAAGAAAACAAATGCTTTAACAATTTCGCGTTTTATACAAGAAACATTAGCAACTTTTTTTCTTCCGACAACTATTCCTTCTAATAAATTACTGCTTATTTTATCGGATGCTGCTCCTTATATGGTGATAGCAGGACAAAATTTAAAAATATTTTTCCCAGATTTAATACATGTTACTTGTGTAGCGCATGGATTAAACAGAGTTGCAGAGGAAACTTGAAAAAAGTTTCCTCTTGTAAATACCATGATATCCAGTGTCAAAAAAGTATTTCTTAAATCTCGTATAAGAATTTAACTTTATAAAGAAATGCTACCTAACATTCCTCTTCCACCACAACCTATTTTAACGCTATGGGGAACATGATTAGAAGCAGCTAATTTTTATGCAGATCATTTTGTTAAAATAAAGAACATAATTGATACGTTAACAGATGAAAGTTCCCAATCTCTTTTGGATTGTAAATAAACTTTTCAGAGTAACTTGCTTCAACAAGAACTTTCATTTATAAAATTAAATTTTAGTTTTGTTCAAAAAACAATTACTCAGTTAGAATCATCAAAACTGTCATTGTTCGAAAGTACAGCATTAATAAAAGAATTTGCGTCATGTTGTCGGAACGTTAGAGGTAATATTGGAAAAGATATTTTAAAAAAATTTGAAGCCACTATGGAAAAAAATAAAGGTTACCATATTCTTTCTGAAGTAGTCAGTGTTCTAGCTGGAAATATTCCGGAAACAATTAATTTAGAACCAAATGTTTTGGTTAGTTTGAAAAATGCTCCCGTTACATCAGTTGATGTTGAACGAAGTTTTTCCATATATAAATATATGTACTCAGACAGAAGCCACAAGTTTTTTTTAGAAAATTTTGAACACCACTTGGTCATTTATTGTTACCATAATTCTAAATAAGTTTATTCATACTTAAAAATGATGTAGTTACTTAAAATAAATGTAAATCTTAATGAATAGTAGGAAATATTTAGTTATGTACACTTTTTTTTAAATAAAATTGTTACTATTTTACGATTTTTTTATTTATTTGTATGTATATTTTGTAAAATATTTGCATATTTTCGGGTAAACACGTGCATATTTATGCGCATATTTTCCACATTTTTATTTGCATATTTGCCGAAGTCTAGTTATGAGGCACTTCCAAATATCAACGATGTCTGTGAGATTCGTAGCTGGTTCAATGTCCCCAGGGAGACGGAGTAATATATTGCGAGGTGGTCGCTTACTTTTTTGTTTGGATTTTTTTCCAAATCCATGAGTCAAGAACTTTTCCATTCTTCTTTAGATGAGCTATATAGGCCTCAGTGGAACTGTCAGCTTTGTTTTCGGCATTACTTCCATCACTTAATTCGTACTCAGAATTGTCATCACGTTCCGAAACATGTTCTTCTTTGTCTGTATCGCTATCATCCATACGTAACGTATATCGTCATCTGACTTAGTAAAATTAAAATTTGTAACAGCTTCTATATCAGTGGGATTATTGAGATTGAATATCTTCTTCTTATCCGCCATTTCTAAAATAAAATGAACAAAATTTAACTAATTGCCACAAATGGTCGCGTCTGAGCGATACAGACCTCCCATATCAACGTAGAAAGTTTTCAATACAAAAAATGCATGAAATAGTATTTTTTTTATCAATATTACAATAAGAATAATGTAACTATAACAAAAAAAACAGATGTTATAAAAACTTACCCAAAAAGTTTGTGACAATGTGTCATGTTATTAAAAGGTGACTTAGATCTGATGCTTAATTAAATCCCGTTACACAATATTTGCAATCTTTGTTTCTTTTAGAAGTGAGTAATTATAAATTAGAACACAGTTTTAATTTCAAAAATTTGATTTGATATGATAAAATAAAATTTTATATATTTTATTTTCCCTTTGTTTTAAACGTTTTAACATTTGACCTACCTTTCCCCAGGTAGCTGTAGCTTATAGCTTACCTATAGCTATATATATATATATATATATATATATATATATATATATATATATATATATATATTAACTATTAATAAATAATTAGTACCCTTCATTTTTTGAGCGTCATATTCATTTTAAAGGGTTCGTTTTGAAATTTTTTGTCACAATTTGAACTTTTAATCTTTACTTTTGATTTTTATGAAAATGTGATGAATTGTGATTATTACATTTTTTAGCGTTTAGCTCTGGAAAATTAAAAAAACGGCCAAACTCGGCTTTAGAACATCGCAGGACATTGAACTTTTTTAATTACTGTAAAAATGCAAATATTTCAAATAAAAAAAAAACAACTTTCTATATGTTGATGCGTCGAGTGATTTTAAATCTTTATAAGCTTTTTTTTTTTGTTTTTTTTCGTCTTCATAGAGGGGTGTCTGGAATCTTCAAAAGACATCTCAGTCCAGGACGCCGCCTGACTAACCTTAGTGCAGGATTCGTTCTTCGTACTCCCGGCGATAGTTCCCGAGGTACTTTAAAATGCCCTCTCGTCGCCGAGTCTACGCCGAACGCCTACCTGCTAAACCAGACCCTCCTCTGTCATCCAGCGATCCGGAAGCGGAATGGCCGCTGTAAGGTCGGCACACTTCCGAAGCAGTAACTTTATTCATTCATTCATTCTCCATTCACACACATCCACACTCCTAGTGGTCCAACTGTCTTTCTTCCTCTTCCTTTTTCTTGGTCACTTACGGATATAACTAACTGTGTATATTAATCCAACCTAATTTATTTTCAATCATTTCTCTCACTGTAACAAAATTCACAGCTGTCTCTCTCTCTCCATTCTGTTCCTTTCCACTATCCATCTGCTGCAATCTAACATCGTATGTCTCACAGTGTCCGAGTATCCACAATATAGGCATTAATCTGTATCAGCCTTTCCGATCCTATAAAGATAGGCCCTAAAACACCCGTGTCCTGTGAGCACCTGCGTCAGGAAATAATCCAGTCGCCTGTGGCCACAGTCCACCCAATCTCTTATGTTCAGGATCAGCATTTTCGTCGACTGTGCCACATCCTCCGTATTGTTTCATTCTTCTTGCCATCTTACAACTGACCTGTCCCTTACCTGTCTTCTCTCAGCCACAGTAAGGTTTGGGCCTCTTCTCTCATAAAGCTCTTTTCGTTCCACCGCCAAAACATGCAACGGAATTCATCCAGTGATGATCAATAAGGCTGCCGCAGACACAGTTGTATAGTCGCATGCCACTCGCAACAGACTTGTTCTGTCTACTCGTTTCATAAGACTCCTATAGGCCGTTATCTCTACCGCCTCGCTCCAGACTGGTGCCGCGTAGAGGACGATGGACTGTACAACAGCGTGTAAGACCCTCCTCCTTTCGGATTTGGGTCCTCCAATGTTCGGCATCACTCTCCCCAACGCAGCCGCACTATTCGCAGCCTTTCGGACCACCTCCCGAACGTGCTCCCCCCATTTTCCATTCTGGTGCAATGTCACTCCTAGATACTTTACTTGTTTCTTGGGTGTTAGACATACTCCCGCACATTTTAATTCAACACCTTGCCTGTTCCTTGCCCTCTTCAGAATAATGGCTTTGGTTTTCTCTGTCGCAAGTTTTAGTCCGTGCTGTGTTATCCATTTTTTTACGACGCCACCTGCGTTCCGAACCCGGTATTTGAGATCTGGCTCATCCCGGGCTACTACCAGTACAACGAGGTCATCCGCGAATGCGAAGGGGGTTTTACCCTCTCCGTATTCACAGTGCATAACCCCGTCTTATGCCAGATTCCATAGCGTCGGGCCCAAGACAGATCCCTGGGTACCCCGGACGTCACGTCCACGATCTTTATAAGCTTAAAATCACAATAATTTTTAAAACATATTTTACAATATTTATCAAAAAATTTCACTCGAAATATGATGTATTTTGATAACACAAGCCTTTTTCTTTAAGTTGGTGTCTTCAGGGTTCATGTAGACTTAAAAACTCGATTTTTAAAGCTATTTTTAGTTAATCGAGCAAAAAATTAACAAAAATATCGTTTAAAAAATTATTTTAAAAGAATTTTCTATACTTTTTCTGTAAAATTGTGCCACTTTAACATATAATTTACCGGTTTCTACCTTTAGTATTTAAAATCAAATAGTGATCTTACATTTTATGTATTGTTTATAAGTAGATAATAATGTTTAATCTTTTACATGTTTTGTTTCTTACTTAATGTTGTCAAAAATTTATCAAAAGCAGTGGTTAGATACCTGTATCAAAGAGAATCGTAAAAATGCTGTTTCTTTGCTAATTTGTCTGGTCTTTTAAGTAATATGACAAAAGATAAAATTAAGTAGCTTTTTTTCTTTGGAACTACGAGAGCCACATGAGTATAAGACAATTATAAAACGCAAATACAAAATTTTTAATTTTTGTTGCCAATTAGCATTGAACTGTGTATTAAGTCATTTTAGAAGTAGAATGCGAATGATTACTTATACGAAGACGATCTATTTAATAATAAAATATCATAATATTTTTAGTGTGAGAAGCAATAACGTTTAATTGCCAATAAGATAATTCTGGCACATTTGTTTAACAAATATAAAAATATATGACCACGAAACGTGGACCATGACTAAAGCCAACGAAGAAAAGCTCAGACGCTTTGAACGAAAAATACTTAGAAACATTTTTGGACCTCACCATTACATCACCACAAACCAGTATAAGATCAGGAGCAATATCGAATTATAAGCACTCTACAACGACGCCGATATTGTCTAAGAAATTAAATAACATCGTCTAAGATGGGCAGGCCACGTGCACAGACTGCATGAAATATAAAAATATGCAAAGCAATCGAAAAAATCTACTTACTACGTATAAATTCTTTTATTGTGCTTTAGTTAGTTTCGCATGAGTTTTACTTTTTGAAGTTCAGATATACCTACAAAATTTGAAGAATCTGTTGTATATTTCTATCTTAGTAAAAATAAAGGCATGTTAAATAAAACTAAATAATTACATAATCAGATTAAATACAAATACATAAAATATCTTCAATATATTTAGCTCTATCAACTTCTTCTTCTTCAAGTGCCGTCTCCATCAATGGAGGTTAGCGGTTATGGTGGCAAACGTTTGTCTATCTTCAGCTGCTCTTAAGAGTTCCTCAAATCCAAGTCCTGTCCAGTTTCTGATATTACGTAACCAGGACAATTTTTTTCTTCCAATTCCTCGCTTTCCTTCTATTTTGCCTTTTATTATCAACTGAGGGATGTAGTATTTCTCGTTGCGCAACAAATGCCCTAAATAACTGGTTTTTCTTCTTTTGACTGTTCTCAATAGTTCTTTTTCTAAATTGAGTACTTCTTCATCTGTTTTTCGTGCTGTCCAAGGAATTTTTAAAATTCTACGGTACACCCACATTTCAAATGCCTCGATTCTATTCAGGCTCTTTATTTTTAAAATCCACGTTTCGACTCCGTAGAGAAGAACAGACCAGATAAAACATTTTACAAGTTTTAATCTCAATTTAATATTTATATGTGTATCGCAGAATAGAACGTGCATCTTAAAGAAACTATCCCTAGCTTGAGCAATTCTTGCTTTAATTTCTTGTTCTGGGTCCAGCTTGCAATTAATCCAACAGCCAAGGTATTTGTATTGGTTTACCTGTTCTAAAATATTCCCATTTATTTTTATAGGTAAGGGGATATTCTGTTTTCTTCGGATCACCATTACTTTTGTTTTTTTTTTTTCGTTGATCTTCATTCCAAACTCTCGACAAGCATCCTTAAGGTGGTCTATAACCCTCTGTAAGTTTGTGTCTGTATCAGCCAGTAGGGCAGTGTCATCTGCATATCTTATGCTAGGTATTGGTTCTCCATTAATTTTTATTTCTGTGGAAAGGTTTTCCAAGGCTTGCTTGAATAGTAGTTCCGAGTAAAGATTGAACAGCATAGGGGATAGTATGCATCCTTGCCTTACTCCTTTATTTATACTAATATTTCTAGATGTATGATCGTCGATCCTAATCTTGACACTCTGCCTCCAATATAAGTTCTTAATTAATCGGAGATCTTTACTATCCAAGTTGATGCTCTGCAAGGAGTTTTACATTTTATTATGGTTTACGCGATCAAATGCCTTTTCAAAGTCTACAAAACATAGAAAGACATCCTTTTGTTGGTCGTAACACTTCTGCAGCAGTACTTGTAATGAAAACAAGGCCTCTCTGGTCCCTATTCCGGCTCTGAATCCAAATTGATCGTATCCGACTTCTTTTTCACACCTTTTGTATACCCTATTGTGAAGTATTTTTAATAGTATTTTAAGCACTTGGCTCATAAGACTTATTAATCTAAAATCTGCGCATCACCTTGAGTTAGCTTCTCTATCAACTTCTTCTTCTTCAAGTTCCACTCCTATCGGAGATTGGAAATCATTCTGGCAATAATAATTT